TGTGCTGACCCTTACCCATATGAACTCCTTTGCTTCTTACATCAGTTTTATGTGTCTCCATTTCACAGGTACTGTATATACAGGAGTAATCTTAAATCACCTAGCAAGTAATCGAAGCCAGTCAATCTAGCTCCCCAAGTCCATATTCTTAAGACACTATTGTATCTGAAGATACAAGATTACAATTTCTATTTTGCCTTTACACAAGTAGAGGTACTAAATAAACTCTTGTTGAGAAAAATCAATAAGTGGGCAAATTTTAATTGCTTAAGGCATTGCATACTAAAGTCCTGTATGTTTGAAAAACATCACACAAAATCATTAAAATTGTGACCTGTTCTCACATATATGCCATTGAATTGAGTACAATAGAATATATGGCCATTGCCTGTAAGGAGTTAAACAGGCATGGAAAATTTAATCAGTAAAATACACTTCATTGTAGTTATAAGCCACAGTGGATGAAACAAAGCAAAGTTTAACAGAACTCAGCTTTTTCTGTCTGGAAAGCCTTTGACATCTGTTTTCCCAATAACTACACCGATTATTTTCTGAAAAACAAAAGAGTATAGAAGACCAGTATTAGACACAGATGTAGATGGTAAATTTAATTTCATGGACTTGTTATATTTTATTGGCTCTAACAAACATTTTTCTTGAGGAGCCATTTAAATGTATTTCAGACAAACATCTAAAAGAATTTCATAAATGTTCAGTTCCACAAGGAATAGTACATAGTAAACAGTAAACTGCTTTTGAAAATATAATCATTTAATATTTAGTATGCTTCTACTTTATTTTCAATCACTAGATGGAGCACAGTACTGCCCTATGCTATCAGCCTTTACTGAATTCATCCAAAGCACATGTACAATGCAATTTAATTTGCCGCAGTCTTCAAAGCTTGCTTTTACTTAGGATTTTCTAACAAAATTGCTTAATCACTTAATTCAAACATGCTTGATAGTAATACAAATTAGACTGTAACAAAATTTATATATTGCTGCTAATAAGTCTAAATTCTAAGGTCCTAGATCTTAAAACTTTGAGACAGTAAAATCACCTTAAAACTTTGATGTTCTCTTTAATGATTAACGAAGAAAAATAAAATATTAAAATGTGCTTTAATAGATAAAAGTAGTGTAATCAAAACACTCCGAAGGCTGATGCAGGACGATCATGAGTTCAAAATGATCCTGGCTACATAGTTCTTGTCTAAAAATTTTTTTATTTAAATATAGAAATAAAAACTATCTTTTTCTGAAAGTAAAAACATAAACTTGTATTATTAATTCTAACAACTGATTTTAACTGTGTAGTAATCTGTGACATTTCAAATACAATCAAGCTTTCTAGCTGAGCTATTACCTAATATTATTGTGTTTAGACATTGTCTTTATTTCTTAAATTTCATATACATTCAGTGAACATTAACTGAATTTTGTTGGATAAACTCAACTAAAGGAAATGTTGAGTAACACTTTCTAACTGAAGAGACAATTAGCAGTTTACTTTTTAAGGAAAGCTAACAGCAATAACATTTTAACATTAATAAAGTTTGCACTGCAAATTCCTAAAGTTACATGCAAACTTAAGAAATCTGTTTTTGCAAGGCCAGATAGGTCATGGACTAGGAAGGTGGAGAATGTGAAAATCCCTCATGGTTCTACCTAAGTTCCTTTAAATAAGTAACAGTTTCCATATGACAGAAATCATTCTTCCACAACTCCTCCTAAAAATTCATAAAAGCAGCATAATGACAAGTATTTAAGACAATAACTCTGATAACTTGATTAGGGATTTGCTGCTACTGAATGAAAATTATTTTATAATGTAAATTTGAGCATTTATTATAGTTGTCACTTTATTAACTATTTATTACACTTATTTATTACATTTATGGTTAAGTATTTATGTCACTTTATTAAGTATTTATTATTTGGAACAATCACTGTTCATACCTATAATCATATGTCTCCTCTACAGATGAAAGATTAATTTAAATTTAATTGGTATAGATATAAAGAAGTTTAGGGATACTTCTACTACATCATTGAAACCTACCAGATTAGCCATATTTGGATGCAGGTCTGAAAGTGTGGTGAAGGTCTTTGATGCAAATGAGTTTGCCATTTTTTAATCTGCATTTTAGAAGATAAAATTTAGATTTATAAAATTCTAAAACTATGAAAAATTTCAAAAAATTAAATACTATGAAGGCACAGAATATTTTACTCATTCTTTGACAAATTACTTACTGTAATAGTGAAATGTAAATTAATGCAGATTTAGCCCTGTAGGAAACATGTTTAAAGTGCACATGTCTATAATTTCAGCACTTGGGAGGCTGAGGCAGGAGGATCACCAGGAATTCGAAACCAGCCTCAGCGATGTAGCGAATTCAAGGCCAATCTGAACTACACAGTGAGACCCTGTCTCAAAAAAAAAAGTATCCTTTACAGTCCCAGGTAATCTAGATGCTGAAATGGGAGTTGTAGGCCAATCTAATATGACCCATCTCAAAATACAAAAACTCAAAGTGGATAACATTTTTCATTCTCTTTTTCTTGTTTGTGTGTGTGTGTGTCTGTGTGTGTTTCTTGTTTTTTGACAGATCTTGCTATGTAGTTCAGGCCGGCCTTGAATTTACTATGTAACCTGGCTGACCTCAAACTCTGGGTGATCCTCCTGCCTCAACCTCCCAAAGGTTGGAATTACAGGTGTGTGCCACCACATTCATCTCCAGCATTGACTTTAAATAAAATAGCTGACCATGGTGGCACCCACCACAGTGATTGATTGTGGACTAGGCTATTATTTAACAAAGGTGTTTTATTTTTTCTTTTTAAGGGAGAAATTCACCAATTTAAATAATGTTACACGTGGACTGTAGTTGATAAAATTGAATGCATTTAGTTGTGGGATCTTCTGTCCCCCAATGAATACTGACAAAAACTAGTTTAATAAGTCATTTCTGCGTACACAAATGCAAATTTGTGTAGTCATTTCTAGGAAGTCTTTTCTACGTCCTCATCTCACTTACAGGGAAGTCTCCAAATTCCCATCATAAACCACAAATTTTGTAACAAACTTTTAATAAAACTAGTCATTTTCTCTTATAGAGGAAAATAATATTGTTCAATTTTTTTCCCTCCTGCTGCTTCAATGGGAACTTGGACAAGTTTTGTACTATGAAATTCTAGCTAATTTCTAAACATCAGGTATCCATTAGTAAATTAGCTGACTGCCCATCATCTGGAGAATTCTCCAGTGTGGAGACAGAAGAAAATGTGGTAGTAACTTTCAAAGTAGTTTCAAATTTTCTTGTTTTTTCAAGAAAGAAAAGAACAATGCATGGTTTGCATACAAATATTTCCAAAAGTTCCTTATTTTATATTCTCCTCATACATATGCATCTAGTAACTGACAAGCCCAGGGCTGAGAAATTCTAACACAAGGGTCTAAAACATCATTTTGCTTTAATCCCTGTGGTGATGTGCAAGGCTCTCTGTTCATTCAGGTTTTTGTTTGTTTGGTTTGGTTTGGTTTTTTGGAGCAGGAATCAAACTCAGGATCTTTCACTTGCCAGCCAGGCACTTGTGCCGGCACTGAGTTATATCCCGGCCCTTCATTCAGTGTTTTAACATTGTATTTTTTTGTAAATGTTTAAATTTTTATCGGTACCAAGGATTGAATTCACGACTGCCTGCTTGCAAGGCAGGCGCTTATGCCGCTGAACTAAATCCCCAGCCCCTAACATTGTATTTTTAATTATAATCCATAACAATCTGGAAAAAACTAAACTCTGAAGAGAGTAAAAAGTTGTATTGCGGAGGAGGTTAGAAAGGAAAGGGGGTGAATTTTTAGGGCACTGAAACTGGTCTGTAGGATCCATAATGGCAGTTTACTGGTGTGAAATTATGTCGAAAATTGTCGAAAACTCACAGGGTACAACACTAAGAGGACGTCTAAAGCAAATTATTTGGTAAGGAAGCTACTTTGAAACAGTATGATACACACGACACACATGCTCTTTATGACTACATTCAACAGGAGCTCCACAGCACGTTCTCTTCCCAAAAACCCAAAGGCCTGTGGCCAGTGGGGTTGGCCCTGTCGCTGGGACCTGACATGCACAGATCTGACCGGGGGTCGGGATAAGGTGGAGGGCGAAGTGGGGGACGAGGACCTAAAGGCAGGAACAAGACTCGGGACCGGAGGGACCAAGCACTGAGAGGAAGACTTGAGGGCCGGAACCTGAGGGACCCCAGAAGGGTCTTTTTAAACGATAGTTTTCAAAGATTTTTTGGGATTGTTTTTGTTTTCTGTTACCAGGAATTGAATTTAGTAGGACCTTGCACTTGTCAGCAGGCGCTTATGCCACTGAGCTAAATCCCTGATCCCCTAGGAGGGTCTTGGCGGGAAAACTGAGGTGGGAAGCGTCAGGAGGGGACCCAACAGGAAAGAGAAGAGTTCCTGGGGGTGGGGAACCTGGCAGGGGCCTGAGGAGTGGGAGATTTGAAGGGGTTCATTATCTGCAGGAATCCGAGAGTCACAGAGCCTCGTGCCAATCGGAGAACTCTCAAGGACCTGCCGGTCACGATTCCCCGTCCCACCCGGTTCCCACAGCGCACGTGGCAGCCGGAAACGAAAAGAGGCCGTTGCCACTGTTCACCAGATGCGTGCCCGGCTGGCTGGTCTTCTGGCCCGCCCCGAAGTCGCCGACTTCCCACAGCTTCTCCACAGAGCGCTCTGAGAGCTGCCCCAGAGTCCACCTGACAGCCGCACGCGACCGTTGGCACGAGGCCCCGCCCAGCCGCGTGCTGACGTGAGCCGTCAGGAACCGGACTACCACTAATAGCTCACCACGCCTAGTCCCGCTCTGACCACGCCCACAGAGTGCTGCCCCGCCCCGCCGCCTATTGGTCCCGCCCCTGGTCCCGCCCCCAGAATGATCATACAGTCTGGTCTTTTCCCTAGCAGCGGCCCCTCCCCCGCAGCGCTTCGTCAGACTCCAGCGGCGAATGGCGGGGCAGGAATGAGAGTCGCTGAAGCTCGGTGAGCAGCTCGCATCAGCAGAGGACCCGTAGGTAAATAGGACCCGAGCAGGCATCCATCGCGGTCACCTGTTTACTGATATGTCCTGCACTTGTAGGGTGACTCACAGGGGAAACGTTGAGGAAACGGAGTAATCGCTGTACAATGTGCTGTAATAATTCACTTGACTCTGAGCAAACATTAAATTACCTTACTTATTGAACTTAATCTCAACTTAAAGCAGAAAGCGCACCAAGGAAAGCCGAGAGAGTGTTCACAGAACTGTGAAGGATTGGTGCTGCCCGCAGACCCAGCCGCTCACTTGCTGGTGATGCAGGGTAGGGCGGCTGCCTAAAGTAAAGGATTCCCTTAGTGGCACTGAATGCCGTCTAAATCATGAGTTGCATGTGTAGTATTATGTGAAAATAAGCAATATCACTTAAAATACATTATACTTGATATACATGATACATAGTTTCACTCAGAAAATATATGTGTGTAAATGTTCACGTGTGTGTGTGTGTGTGTGTGTGTGTGTAGTGCCAAGGAGTGTACCCTAGGTGAACATGATCCCCCCCCCAAAATTGCCGCCTTGTGTTTTAAATTACTATCATATAGAAATTACTTTTAATCTAATGACTTATTAAACTAGTTTTTGTCAGTATTCATTGAGGGAAAGAAGATCCCACAACTAAATGCATTCAATTTATCAACTACAGTCCACGTGTAACATTATTTAAATTGGTGAATTTCTCCCTTAAAAAGAAAAAATAAAATGCTTTGTTAAATATTATGCAGCCACGTTACAAAAGAAAAATACATTAAAGGAAAGTTTTTTGTTATCAAAATACGGTTTTAAGTTTTTCTCATTTAAAAAAATCCCCTCAGCAGCATAAGCACCTGCCTGGCAAGCGCAAGGTTGAGAATTCAATCTCCATTACCAAAAAAAAATCCCCGAATATCATGGAATACAAAATAAAATGCTGCATTGCCACTGTTTCAAATTTAATGGAAAAAGCTTTAATATTCCATATTCTTTTCTAGTCTGTTTTTTTTGTTTGTTTGTTTTTTTGTTTTTGTAATGGGAATTGAACTCAGAACTTTGTGCTTACCCAGCAGGCGCTGTGCCACTCCAGTCTGTCTTTTTTTAAAAAAGATATTTTGATTTATCTAAAAGAAGGAACTGAGCCAGGCATGCTGGTACACTCTTATAATCCCAGCATTCGGGAGGTTGAGGCAGGAGGATCACTGCAAGTTCAAGACCAGCCTGGGCTACAAAGTAAGCTCAAGGCTAGCCTGAACTGCATAGCAAGACTCTGTCTCGAAAAGACAAAATAAGAGAGAAAAAACTGGCACTTATGTCAATTTGAGATGAAAAGAAGAAAAGTTGTAAAAAATTAATTTTCATGCATTTTTGAGTCTCAGTGGGAGAATAATATTTCAAATTTTTGTTCATATTTTATTCAGTTTTTGCTGAAGCTCCATGAGGTTAAGCAAGCAGAATCGGCCTGTCTAGTAAAAGCATGAACTTCTCATAGACTTGATGCTTCAAAATACAAGTCCAGAAGAGTGGAATTGTTTTAGGCTTATGGTGAAACTAGGACTCCTCATTTATGTAAAGCATTTGTTTTTTCCACTTTATATTGCTTTCTAATTGCTTTGTTCTTAACAATAGAATTGACTTGCCAAGATATTTTGGATATATATATGTACCAAAATAGGAATGCTCAACTCTTATTGTTTGATGTAAAAGTCAAGGGTGAGTGAATGGAGATCTTTGAAGAAATAGCTTGCATGTCTGGTTATAGAGTGATAGGTGGCTCTGTTGTTAGAGCATCTAGGGGCCATCAGACCATCTAGGAACATGTCACAAAGGATGACAAGGAAAAATATATACAATAAAATTTAAAGGGCTGGGGATTTAGCTCAGCGGTATAAGCGCCTGCCTTGCAAGCAGACAATCATGAGTTCGATCCCCAGTACTGATAAAAAGACAAAAGACAAAAAAAAATTTTTTAAATATACTAATAATAGGGGAAACAAAATTATTATAATGAATTATAAGACAATCTTCCATTTATTTGACATTGTAATTACAAAAATAAGTCTCCTAACATTGATCCTGTGATTATATTATTCCCAGAAGCTGAAATGCTAATTAGTCTCACTATTCTGTCCTTGATCCTTCTAAAGATTAACTAACCTTTAAATAGATTGTAGGTATGCTAACAGACTTTTTTCAATTTTTGCAAAAGTTTGTCAAGAGAATATCCAGGCATTATGTATATACTGTAATCCTAGCCATTCAAAAGGCTGAGATAGAAAGATGGCAAATTTTAACTCAGTGTGGACCACTTAGCTATACCCTGTCTTAAAATTCAATTTAAGAAAAGATTTGGGTAGACAAGGACTTCCTGAATAGAATTTCAATAGTACAAAAAATACCAAGAATAAAAGTTGGGATTATATTAATTTTTTTAAAAACTGCTGCATACCAAAGGAAACAATCAACAGGATGAAGAGACAGCCTACAGAATGGGAAAAAAAATTTTTGTCCATTACTCTTCTGATAGAAGACTACTACCTGAATGTATAAAGAACTGGGAAAAAAATAAAGAACTCTTTTAAAAAATAAAAACAAATGACCTAATAAAAAATGGGAAAATAAAACTAATAGACACATTTGAACAGAAGTATGAGTGACCCATAAGAATATGAAAAATGTTAACATTTGATGGAATCTCATTGTTTTGATTTACATTTCCCTAATGGCTAAATATATTAATATTTTAATATATCTATGGCCCACTCAAATGTCTTTTGTTCAAAAAATGTCTATTAAAAAGGGCTGAAGATACAGCTCATGGTTAACCCTTGTTGAGAATACATGAGGCCCTGCATTTAATCTCCAGTACCTAAAAAAAAAAAGTTATAAAGAAGAGGAACAGGGTAACTGTGAGACAGATTGGAAGAACTATGTATGGAGATCAGGTTTAGGGGCAAAAGGAAGTAATTTAAGACCTATTGAAGTGAGTAAGTAGGGGAAATAGAAGAAAATGAAAAGCATATTTTGGAGTACTGGTTTCCTGGAGTTCTGAAGAAGCTTGGAAGGAAGAGAGTTTGTGAGAAATAAGGCAGGAGCAACTCGAGCACCCTGAAGACTGAAGACCCAGGAACATTCCTGAAAATTCTGCAAAATCCATGCAGACCCCTGAGGTGGGTTTTTGGGGTACTGTGGGAAGCAGTTTTTCTCACATTCATGTGGCACTAGCAAAAAAAAAAAGAGAACTTGAGTTTTTTTTCTGACAAGTAAAAGAACAGAGAAGAGGAATACAGTGGCTGACATTTTATCAGGCACCATAAGGAGAGATTCATATGGAGTTAGGAAGTGAGATCAGAAGACTGAAATGGAGCCGCGGGTCAGACTTGGAGCAGTATTAGTATCCAAGGACCATGTTCAGGGACTGCTAGATACTGGGATGGGCTGTTTTTGCCAGAACAAACCTGATGCTTCTGTCTCTGAGAGAACATGTGTGAGGCAGGGACAGCTGGAGAAAAAGCCCTGACCACTAAATCCCATGACTGATCTTTGGACAGGAGACTAGCACCCAGCCTGACTCCCCTGGAAAGTTACTCTTGTGACAACAGAGAACACAGGCCATCTCTTGGAAGGACTCTCAAGTGTCAGATTCATCATCATTCATATTAAGTACATATAGTTTTAAAAATCAAAACTAAGCTTGAGAACATACTTTTACCACTTCTGCTGCTGTGTGCCATGCCCCTGATCCTTCTCCCTCCCACTGCATGTCACCAGTCACTTTTGTCCAGACTTAGCACCATGTCTCCAAGCTCAGTACATCTAACTTACTTAGGTCCCGGGTTTACCCCAAGTCAGTCCTTTCACATGTATCTAGCACCTCAAAATCACAGCTTCAGAGGTGGCCTTGAATCTTGAATCTGTCTTTGCCGCTTGTATCTCATGTTTCTTTTTCTCTCTTTGACTTCTCTCCTGCTCATATCCTGTCTCTCCATAACTGTTGCCCCTGCCTTCATATAGAAGATTGTGGCATTAGGTTGGATGGCTGAAGTAGCAGACAATGAGGACTTTTATCTTCTCTGCTCCAGCCATTCCCCACCTTGCCAGTCAAGTCAGTCTCCCATCAAGCTTTTCAAGTCTCCATCACAACACTCCCTGCATGGATATCCTTCAATACTGTATACAGGACAATTTTTTCAATAAGGAGAAAGAACTTTGCAGGCCATACAGTCTCTTTAGCTACAACCCTACCGTACCCTTTTATCTGAACAAATCGATGTAGCTATATTCCAATAAAACTTCATTGACAAAGCTGGCAAGTGTCCAGGTTTGCCCTATGAAGCCATAGTTGGCAGACCTCTGGATTGAAATAATTCCTTAGTTCCACGTGAGATACTTGGCCAGAAATGAATGATTAAACTGTAAGACAAAAGCATACAGGCTCTATTAGGAGTAAATGGTTAAAATGCAGGGGAAAGGCACATAAGTAAACTGCTGGGAAAGGCATGTCAGCTCTGTGAGAAGTAAATAATTAAACTGTGGGGCAAAAAAAAAAATACAGGCTCTATGAGGAGTGAATAGTTAAATTACGGGGCAAAAGCACTACGTGAGAATTGAATGGTTAAACAACAAAAAAGTTTAGATTGGTAAAGTATGTTATGTCTGCCCACTGTCCTGGCCCTTTCTCCAAGAAAAACTCCTGTTTTGAGACAGCTCCTTGCCCAAGCTGCTTTTCTCCTGTTTTTTTCTCTTACACCGAGATTCTAAATAAAAGCCAGAGTGTTCTTGGTTTGATGGCCTTTTTCCTGTCCCAGAGTCTCCCTAATGCCTGGGCACTCTCAGATGATAAATAACCCCTCTGGTCCTCTCAATGATTCAACCAAGTCTCCTCTCTTGAGTACTCATTTTCAATCCTCCAGGCCGTTCGTGATCACTCACTGCAGCAGTTCTATACACAGCCCTTTCTATGATTTGGACACAGTTAAAAGTTTAATTCTTATGCCCAGTACCGATAAAAAGGAAAAAGACAAAAAAAAAAGTTTAACTCTTTCCTACCATTTTCCCAAATCCGTGTGTGTGTGTGTGTGTGTGTGTGTGTGATGCTGGAGATTGAACCCTGCATCATGTGTGCTAGGTAAGCTATCATGAGCCACAATATCCAGCCTTTTCTAAGAATTTTATATACTTAATGAACTTATGTGTAGTAATGACTTTCCTACACTGCAAATGTACACATATTTCTAAAGATACTTCATAGCTACTGACCTATGGTAGCAATGTCTTTATTTCCACTTTCTCTCTACTTCACTGTCCACATGGTTGGTACTTTTTATTCATATGTACTTCTAGAATACATTTTTAAGAGCCACTTAGAATGAAGCCACTATTTTACTTCAAATGATAATTGCTTCCCTGTTTGGTGATTGGAAGGTCCTAGATTACTTTAAGGAGAAGAATACTTGTGTTTGGGAAAAGCAGACATTTTTACATGCAGAGCTGTCCTTTCCCTCTGGGACCAAATCTTAGGCTTTATTCTTTGTTAGGCTTATTTACGTGGTTGGGAATTTACTCAGAGTCTGATAACCTATCTTTATTGTTCATGAGCACAAAAGACTTATTTTGAGCTTTTAAACTATCACACTGAGAAAAAGGCAACAGATATTTCTCAATGTACTTAATTTCAATGTGCATTAACCAGGGTTCTCTTATCTTAGCAGTTTTATTGGTAGAAACTAAAAGTCAGGTAGTCTGGTTGAAATTTCAGCTTTGCTGCTAATTAGCCGTGACACTCAAACATGAACTTCATTTTCCTTATCCGTCAAAAGATTTTGGACAGATCCAATGGGAAGAAGATAGTACATATTCTCTGGGAAAAGATGATAGATGTATTTCCTCCAAGACAGAAGCTTTGGGAAGCCTGTTCATTTCAGAATTCCCCATTCTGAGTATGGTGCTGTACCTTGTGCCTATCTGGTGTTAGATGGATGAATCATTCAATAACTGTCACTATTACTGAACTCTGTAAGTGGCAAAGCTTCCTAGGATCACCCTGTACTCTGATGGAAAGATCAGCAGTCTGTGTCATAGAATTTGTGTCTAGTTCTATAACGTAATCCCAATAATGTAATCCCTTACAATATTAATTACAATTATAATGTTATAATAGATTAATCCCTAATCTAATTACTGTGATGCCTCTTTTGTCATCCTCAAGGTCTGGAAGTTTTATATTTGTAATCCCACTGAAGCATTATTGAAACTCCAGTGAGTTAATTGCAATCTATTACCTCCAATGTAACCCATGGAAAGAATAAAGACACTAAGACATTCATAGTTACAGGCTGCCAAGGGGTCCTGAGTCTGGTCCAGATGAGGATACAGAGAACAAAGGCCCTGATCCAAGGCTTCACCCAGAATTTATTATCTTATGAAGAAGGGAGTGGCTCGAGGATGAGTGATGGTGAGAACAGCACAAATTATGTGAGCTGAGCTGCCCAGGTAGTGACAAAGCACTTCTGTCATATGCAGGGAGAAGAATATGCAGAAAGAAAAATCTGCATAAGTCAGGAGAGGTAGCATTTGAATGATTTAGGAGGCTGGTGCTTTAGTTTCTGGTATGTCAACTTTTGTGTCCTAGGAAGTCATAGCCTCTTATCTTGAGGCTGGAACCCAGTTGACATTTCTGGAGCTATGTGGCTCTGCCATCCCACTATGCTCAACTGTTTACAGGAACAAGATGCAAGAAAACAGAAAACTCTGAGCTGGCTTCAAGGATGACATATCAGTACCTCAGTTAGCCTTATTTGCATCGCTTTGAGCCAATTAAAAGGAGAAGAAAATTGTTTAACCAGCTCTGAACATATCAGTACATGTAAACAGGCCTTAGTTTAACTAATGCAGAGGTGATTGTTCCGCATTCAAGGAAAGCCATCTGCGTGGTCTTCTACAGTTCTAACCCTTCACTTAATTTGCTTATGATTTTACCATAGTTACTTACCTTCTCCAGAACCTTAACATGACCTGTTAAGTGTTAATGAGCAGGACACTGGCTAATGTATTGGGTACTGTGAAATAATGGGAGAGAAAGCACAAAACATATTCTGTTGACAGTTGTTCCTGAAAGAGGCTGCCCAACTCACGACTGCTAAAGATTCTGTCACATCCCTGGAGGCTCATTTATGCATCTGCCCTCCTATTTAATGTCCAAGTGGAGACACCAGCAAGGCTTCCAGGCTGAATAGTATTTTATAGAAGTCATCAAGTTTACTTAAGAAGTGCTTTTGTTTTGTACTCACCTACTTGCTATTATTTAGTATTTATTCTCACCTACTTCCAAAATACTCTGAAGCAGTATATTAAACTGAATAGTGTCCCCAAAACTCATGTTTACTAGAGCCTCAGAGAGTGATCTCTTTTGGAAATAGGGTCTTTACAGATGCATTTGAGTTAGGATAAGGATATACTGGATTAGGGCGGCCCTAATAATGACAGGTATCCTTACAAGAAGTGAAGAGACAGACATACAGGGAAGAGAAATGTAAAGAAAATAATGAATACCAAGAAATCTGACAGTCATTAGAGCATAAACAGAGGCAAGGAACAAATTCATCCACAGAGTCTCCAGAGAGCATCTCTGCTGATATGTATGTTTTGGACTTCCAGCCCCCTAGAGCTATGAGAGAATAGATTTCTGTGGTTTTAGGGATCCCAGCTGATGGTAATTTTTGTAAGAGTCCTAGAAAACTAACACACGTCTTATAAGTTAAACAATTAGTGATTGGAAAAACAACAGAAGAGCTGCCTTATGCAAACAGAATAAAGGTTTCTAGTTTCCAAGATAAGCTGATTCAGTGATTTTGCTGAAAAAAAGGAAAAAACATTATATTACCTAATTTTTGTCATTCAACAAATGTCAGTGGATGGGACCACTATTGTTATTTTCCCCTAGGATAAAAAGAAGAATTCATCATACTCTTTGCACAGGGATAAGAACATGATAAACAGCATCTTTGAAACAAGTTTCACCTTTAGGCTGGGAAGTCCCTACCTGTAATCCCAGCACTCTGGGAGGCTGAAGCAAGAAGTTTCCAAGTTCAAACCTTGCCTGAGAAGCTTAGTGATTTAGTAAGAATTTGTCTCAAAATAAAAAATAGGAATAGGGATATAGCTAGGGATATAGCTCAGTCTGAATGTACTGGGTACAATCCACAGTACCACAAAACAAAAACAAAAAAATTTCTGGTAAATTATCATCAATATGCTAAGTGCTTTATATACTTTATAGAAATATGCTTCTCAGTATACACTTAAAATTCAAGATTAAATTGCTTAAATGATATGGGAGACACAAAAGTATAATTGAAGAATAAATATTTCAATTTGGCGCTTCAGTATTAGGGAGAGTCCTGAAGGAATGCTTTCCAATTGGTTCAGGAATCAGAGACTGGTGAGGGAAGTAGGACTGTATGAAGTATAAAATGTGTGGAATTAAGATTATCAATGAGCAACATGGGAAGGGTCAAGAGTGAGGAATCGAGGGGGTAGTTAGTGCAAAGGATGCAGAGAAATTCAGATCAGATGAACTGAAAAGAAGACATGCCACACAATAAGATCACATAATAAGGCTGCAATTTAAAAAAAAAAAGACATACGTGCTGGTGAAATTGTAGAGAAACTGAAACCCTTATGTGCTGCTGATGGGATGTAAAGGGCCATAGCTCTGTTGAAAACAGAGTTGGTGACTCCTCAGACTGTCACACAGATGGAGGAGACTAACACACAGAGTTAGTTATTGAGGGCCAGCCACTCCACTCTCAGGTCTCTCTCTCCAAGGGAACTGAAATCCTACGTCCACACAGACACTTGTACGAAGATGTCCATAATTCTCAGTAACCAAAAAGTGGAAACAACTCAGATGTCCCTAAATTGATGGAAAGCTAAACAAAATGTAGCCCATCTACCCAATAAGAATATTATTCATTCCTAAAAGGAAGGATGCTCTGACACAGTGAACCTTGGAAACTTTATACTCAGTGAGAGAAACCAGACACAAAAAGATCACATATTATATGACTGCATTTATAGGAAATTCCCAGAATAGGCAAATCCAGAAACAAAATATAGGTCATTGGTTGCTTACGGCTGGAGAGGCATGACTGAACTGGAGACTAGAGACTGAACTTAATTTGGGTGTAGAATTTCTTTTGGGATGAAAACGTTCTGGAACTAGACAATGATGATGGTTTCACAGTGAGTATAGTAACAACCACTCAATTACATAATTTAAAAGGTTGATTTATATTTCAGTAAAACTGTTATTTATTTTTAAAAGTGGGCCTCAAATGTCTTCATCATTCCTGTTGAACCTATGAGCTATGCAACTGTAAGTCTTTTAGTATCAGAAAACCCAAATTCTCTAGAGAGAATTGCCAGGAATTTTCACAGCACTTTTTTTTGTGTGTGTGGTACCAGGGATCAAACTCACGACCTCAAACTTGCCAGGCAGGTGCTTATGCCCCTGTGCTAAATCCCCAACCTTCCACAGCACACTTAAAGTACTTGTTTATGGAGGATTATAAAGGTACATGTATATAACACATTTTGTTGTCTTTGTTTAAATTTCCAATATTCATTATCTTTACAGACATACAGAAACCATATATAATTTAATCTGTGCTCATTTGGCCCATCCAAAATGGTAAGTTTATTTTTCAAAAGATCCTTAGAATTTGTATGGCCATTTCATATTTTGCCCCTAGATTAAATGTTATTTTCTTATTTACACCTTGGGTCATTCCAGAAAAAATCTCTTGGGACATGGCTTTATTTACTGTTTGCAAGAAAATCGACAATGTTTGTTCCTCACATGTTAGTGTTTATACATTTTTACACTATTTAAAAAGGCTAAAGTATAGAATTTCATGACCCTTAACTTTTTCTCAGGGCCTTAAAAATGAAAGTCCAAAGAAAGTTTAACATATTTTATGATTTAATCATAGCTTATGATTTTAGAAAATATTTATATTGATTTGCCCACTGAATCACTTGGCTTTGGAAGAAAGAACAGGAAAAAACAGTTTATTCTGTCAGCATTAGAACTAAGAATAAAATAAGTCAATATAGTCACTTTTATTGCATAACATTTTTTTCCTCTTCATTGGTCATTTTATGACCCAAGGTCACAGCAATCACAAAATTTATTGTTGCTTGACAAGCTTTCCTTGTCAACTTCATATCACAAGGCCTTTCATTTCTTCAATTAAGCAACTGGATATGGAAGCCATATGGGTTCTCATATTTATTATGTCAATAAAGCCCATTGTAATTACATGATGCTGTTGAAAAATGGCATGCCAGGAAACTGACAGATGTTTTAGGTCACATCTTATGCAATATCAACTACCGATGAAGTGATTTCAAAGGCTTTGCACACTGGTTAATAGAGAGAGCAACCTTACTATGTCATATCTCTTTATTCATGTTTTTTCCATGTTCTGAAATAAGCAAGATATCTTTATTATTCTTCCTATATGTATAAGCCAGTGGACAAACTTGATAGTTTGGTGGGGGGCGGTTTCTTTCTATAGGGAACAGATACAAATATATTACAACAGGGATTCCACACAAATTCACTTTTAAATGATTATTTTATGATAGGAAATATTGATATAGGGTATATTACTTAAAAGTCTTAATATAATTTTAATGTATTAATCCACTGGGCAAGACAGTAAAATGTTAAAAGAAATGAGAGGTCAGAAACAATAGATTCAAGCTCTAACTCCAAGGTTCACTACAGGTCATTAACCTCTAAAAATCCTTTATGTACCTAAATGGATGCCTACAGAACTCTGCAGGGATTATGTTTCATAGTGCAGTGTTTAGGAAGGAGTCAGTCTGTCAGACTTCCGCAGTTTATCTTAGTATTCTTTGCTGTAATTTTAAAACATTAGACTGTTAAAGAATAAATTTGTTGTTTAAAAAAAGATTGAATTCTGTTTGGGATGATAAAAAACTTTTGGAAATAGATAATAGTGATGATTGTACAATCTTGGGCATGTATATAGTGACATTGAGATGAACCTGTAAAGATGGTTAAAATGATAAATATGTTTATTTTTCCCCAATCTTTAAAAGTTGAAGTGTATTGTCCCTATGAGTTACACTGACTTCCAACCCCCACAGGTGCACAACTCCAAGAGTAAATGCTGACATAATCATGGATTTAGGATGGCAGAGATACAGGTTCACCAAGGGCAAAAATGTACCACCCTTAACGGTGTTTGCAATGTGGATAGCTATGCATATGAAGGCACAGGGGAGGGTGGGGTGTATGGGAAAGTTCTGTACGTTTTATTTAATTTTGCTGGACAATTCTAAAACTAAAGCTTATGAAAACAAAAAATTAAACTAAATACACAGATACCATAAGATCTGACAGTTGTAGTTCTGATAATTTCTCCCAGAGGAGTAAAAACTTATGTTTACACAAAAACCTAAATAAAACAGCCAAGGATCATTAACAGGCCAAAACAACCGAAGTCTGCTGTATTACAGACACAATTGTTGGAATTCAAACGGATAACTCCAAGAAGCTCTGGGAGGAAATGGGGCCAGAGCAGGAGAGAGGGCTTTGCAGTCAAACATTACTTACAAGTAAGCCCAGCTGTAAAGCAGTTTTCAGGGCTTTGTCTAACTAAAGTGAAAATGCACAGTCCCTTATTGAACCAAAGGCCTTGCACTGAACATCCCTAGTCCTTTATGTATTTTTTAAATTTTGAGACCAGGTAAGTGGCTGTAGTGTGGCAGGCTGCAGCCGCCCCAGGAGGAGAACCACCAGCAACTCCTGAAATCCACGCCATGTTGGAACTTAGGGTCCTGGGAAGCCAAGGAACCAGCTTACCTCCCTGGTAAGCAGCTGTGGTGTGGCAGGCTGCAGCACCCCCAGGGGGAGAACCACCAGCGTCTCCTGTTATCCGCACCATGTTGGAACTTGGGGCACTGGGAAACCAAGCAACCAGCTCACTTCACTGCTAAGCGGTAGTGAGCCTACTGGTGCACAGACTGAGTGCACCTCCCCACCACCACACCCCATTAGCAAACAAGAGCCAGAGATCTGAGCATCTCTTGGGAGGCTGACCCTATGCAATATAGCAAGTAAGGGGGATTTCTTCTACCATCTCTTTGAAGGCAAATATTTTTACCAGTTTTGCTTTATTCTGATTAATGGTATTGCTCTATTCAATATTCTGTTTTGATAAGTTCTACAATGTTCTGTATTTTGTTTTATTTTGCTATATCTGATTGAAAGAACAACTATTGTGAAGATATTGAGATATACTGTGGGACCTATTACTGTTATCCCAGTAACCTGCTGTGAAGTTCTATGCCAATTTCACTACACTGTCTAAATTGGCTTTGTTCCATCTTGTTCTGTTGTATTTTACTACCTTCAAAATAAAATTTTAAAAAAATTTTGAGACCAGGTCTTGCTAAATTGCCCACGCTGGGCTTGAACATGTAATCCTCCTCCCTTTGCTTCCCACTGTGCTGAGATTACAGGTATTACAAGCAGCACCATGTTCAGCTTCAGATGTTGTTAATAATACTCTTATTATTAGTATTGCTGGGGATTGAATCCAGACCTTCATACATGCTAGACAAACTGAGCTACTGTGCCACTGAGCCACATGCCCAGCTACTTTTACTATTCTAATTGTAGTTCATATAGTCTACAACTGCAGTTGTAAGTGTAGCTCAGTGATAAGAGTGCTTGAATGTTTGAGACCCAGGTTCAATTCCTAGTATTAGGGAAGAAAAAAACACTTATTACCAATAATAATTATATACTGTATATTTTTAAAACTTAGAAGAAAAGATTCCAAATGTTCTCAACATGAAGAAGTGAAAAATGTTTGTGGTCATACATGTTTAATCCAATTTAAACATTATATGTCGATGTCACTCCCGGCCGGCAGGAAGGACACACGACAAAGTCTGGCAGTGGACAACCTTTTCTTTTATTTTCTCTCCGTACAGCCTGCCCTGGGATCGCTCCCAGCCGAAGCCTCCTCTGGTCCGCTCCCCGCGGCTCCTTCCGTGCTTCGCTCCGAAGCCTCTACCGGTCCGCTCTCCGCGGCTCCTTCCGGGCTTCTACTTCCCCCCAGGGGTGGCACCAGTATATATACGGATACAGTGTCCAATCATATTAAAGTAAGCAAGGCAAGCTGATTGGCTAACATATTATTGAGCGGGTTGTTTACGCGGTAAGCAGGAAACTAACGTGCTCGATGGGAGGGGTAATCTAACTCAGGCTTTGCTCTTTACCACAGGCCGCATGATCGCTATATGCGGCGGCTCGGCAATGTGGTGGCTCCCAACATCTCCCCCTTTTTTATTTTAAATAAGTCTACGCATCGCAGCCCGTCCTGAATTGAGTGTAGAGGCCTGTGCCCTGATAGGAGGCCCACCAAGGGCTCTCGGCGTCGGCCCGGGTCGGCCGTCCCCGAGTCTGCCGAGGCCCCGAGGCCCTCGTCCTTTTTCCAGGGCCAGGAAGGAACCGGACGGAACCTGGATGCACACAGGCATACACTCATGTCGCTCCGCATGATCCCCCCGGGGCGACATTTGGTTTGAGCGAAACCTAGTAATTCAGCGGCTTTCGTGCGGTATGGGGTAGGGCCTGTCTTAGGTTGAGTCATGCTGGGGAGGCATGCTCTTACCCGTCATTGACTCATCTACCCTGCTATATCATAATTTTTTAGAGGAGGAGTGTGGGAAGCTCACCGTCCCTAGACTCGGTCGTAGGCTAGGCGAGCGAGCCATGCATATGCCTGAGGATCTTCTTGTCCATTTCGGGCTACCGCTATTTCTATTCATCTTGTTGGTTGGTCTGTGATGGATCTCCGGTAGGGCAGGTCTGGTCTTCAGTTGAGGGCTTTGTCGCCCGTGTCAGTCTCTCCGGTACCCACAGTGGTTCTCGTCCCGGTTCCTGTGGGAAGACACAAACCGCACCTCGGTTCCAGCTGACCACTGGATCCGGGCCCATCCATTGTCCTGTCAGGACATCTTTCCACTTCACCCACCCTTTATGGTTGGGGGAAGGGTTGCAGTGCTCCACAGCTGGGGAGCAATTATCATTATTTAAATTTAAAAATTGTGTGTGAATAGTGCCATGGATAATCGTGCCTTTGGGGCCAGGCCTTGGCCTACTCCCCCTTTTTGTTTAGCTAGAATTGCTTTGAGACTTCTATGGGCTCTTTCGATGATTCCTTGACCTTGGGGATTGTATGGGATACCATGTTTTAATTGAACCTCCATCATTTTGCAGAACTCATTGAAGGCTTTGCCTATATAGGCTGGTCCATTATCAGTCTTTAATATTTTTGGTTTGCCCCATGCGGCCCAAGCCGCCAGGCAATGATTGATCACATTAGACACTTTTTCACCTGTTTCTGCTGTTGCAAATATGACGTGAGAACAGGTGTCTGTGGAAACATGAACATATTTAAGAGTCCCAAACTCCTGTATATGTGTGATGTCCATCTGCCAAACATCACCAGGGGTCAAACCTCGAGGGTTTACTCCCATCGGTATGGCAGGTTTGTATGTGGCACAGGAGCCACATAGTCGCACGATATCTCGTGCATCTGCTCTGGAAACATGGAAATGGTTTGCTAGTGTCCTGGCATTGACATGAAACTTATCATGGAAGGCACGGGCTCGCTCGATTGGTGTTAGTAAGGTAAAAATCCATAACGGGCGAGTGGCAGTGTCAGCAGCCGCATTCCCCTGTGCCATAGGCCCTGGCAGGGATGTATGTGCTCTTATGTGGGTGGTGAAGACCTTATGGTGTCTGTTCTGGAGCAATGTCTGGATAGACAGGAACGGCCCAGCCACTGTGGAAGTGGATCTAATTAAACCGGCAGTCTCAAGCACTTGCATAGCATTGACCACATACCTAGAATCGGAGACAATGTTAATGGCTCCTGAGAACCGTTCAAGAATCATTTTAACGATCTGCAGTTCCACCACCTGAGGCTGATCAGGTTCAAATTGTATGGTAACCGGGGGCTTGCCTAGGATCACATAGGCGCCTATCCCCGTCTTGGAGCCATCTGTATATATTGTAGTTGCTGGGACTAATGGCTCAGAGGCAGTAACCTTTGGAAAAATTACAGGGTGCTGAGTAACAAATGACAAGATAGGGTCTTTAGGGTATTGATTGTTTATATCCCCATGGAAAACACATCTCAAAATGGCCCAAGTATCTATGCAGGCAGCCAGGGTCTTGATCTGGCTGGCAGTATAGGGTACTCGGATGGCTTGTGGTCCTGAGCCAAAATGTTGGACAGCTCTATCATGCGCTTCAAGGGCCAATGAAGCGACTGCCTCCGGGTAATGCTCTATGACTTTTGCAGGTGAGACCTTAGGGTGTATCCACAGTAGTGGTCCTTTCTGCCAAATCACCGCTGTGGGCTGTAGACTAGTCTGTAGCAAACAGACATCAAAGGGTCGCCCTGGTTCAATTCTGTGTAAGGTAGCCCCACCTAAGGCTTCCTCCACTCTCTGTAAGGCAGCTCTTGCCTCAGGAGTGAGCCTCCTGTGGGAGGCTATATCTGGGTCTCCCTTCAGAAGGTCGAACAGGGGTTTGAGATCTGAATTTGGTATATGTAAATATGGCCTAATCCAATTAATGTCTCCCAATAGCTTTTGCATGTCATTTAGGGTCCTAACGCCATCCGTCCTAATGGTGACCTTCTGCGGAGAGACTAGCATAGGGGAGATTCTCGCGCCTAAGTAGGTCACCATTTCTCCTCCCTGCATCTTGTCGGGGGCAACATGCAGATTGGCTTGTCTCAGGGTCTCGACCAACTGGCCGAGCATATTATTTAGCATGTCTGGGTCCCTGCCGCTGAGCAAAAGGTCGTCCATGTAATGCACACATCTTATCTTGGGAAAGGATTTCCGTAGGGGGGCCAGTAGGGAATCAAGGTAAATCTGACACATAGTGGGACTGTTGGCCATACCTTGGGGCAGCGTTATCCACTCGTATCTGAGATCAGGGCTTTCTTGGTTAATGGTGGGTAAAGTAAAGGCGAACCTATGGGTGTCCTCTGGATGCAGGGGGATTGAGAAGAAACAGTCTCTAAGATCTATAACATAAATCGGCCAAGACTGAGGGATGGCTGAGAGAGCTGGCAGTCCCCTCTGGACCGCCCCCAGGGACTGCATCTGCGCGTTGACCGCCCTTAGATCATGGAGCAGCCTCCACTTGCCAGACTTTTTCTTAATTATAAAAATGGGGGTGTTCCATGGGGAGGTCGACGGCTTAATGTGTCCTAATCTAAGTTGTGCACTGACTATTTCTGACAAGGCTAATAGCTTCTCCTTAGGCAGGGGCCACTGAGGTACCCAGACCGGATCATTTGATTTCCAGGTGATTTTGATCGAAGTGGGTAGGAGAGCTTCTTCAGCGGCCCCTAAGAAAAACCCAGCCCTTGCCTACCTTTTTTGTTCTCTACTGGTATTGGGGATGTCCGACCCTGTAGGGCATTGCCCAAGCCTTTGCCGGGGGTATATCCCTGGTTCCTGAGTATATCCTTAGCCTGGGGGGAGCAGTTTGACGTAAGCATGACATCCATCTGAGTGAGGATGTCCCTTCCCCATAGAGACACTGGCAACTGCAACACAAACGGTTGGAAATGGCCCTGATGACCCTCCTCATCGCACCAGAGCAGGGTTGAAGCACTAACCTGAGGAGCTGACACCATCCCCAGGCCCTGCAGCGTGTTATCTGCAGTGTTGGTGGGCCAGTTGGAAGGCCAATCCTTTTTGGAGATAATGGAACGGTCAGCTCCTGTATCTAGGAGCCCTGTTATATTCTTGCCATTGACCTTAAGTGAGAGCATGGGCCTTTTATCAAGTGTCATATGGAGTCCCTCGAAGACTTCCCCTGAGGAACCGAAACCTTGACTTTCTCTAATTTTCTGCTTTGAGGGAAATCTCTTGTGGAGACTGGGGAGCAGCAAGAGCTGCGCTATCTTGTCTCCTTTATTGATTACCATAGTACCCACAAGAGATTGAACCATAATTTTAATATGTCCTGTGTAGTCTGAGTCTATGACCCCCGGGACTACTGTGAGACCCCGAAGGGCCGTGGAGGATCTCCCGATCACCAGACCCACGGAATTTTCGGGTAACGGTCCCTTAAAGGTGGTTTCAACCACTTGAACACCCATGTCAGGCACTAATATAAGTCTGGAGGCGACACTGAGGTCCACACCTGCTGACCCAGGGGTGGCCCTTGTTGAAGGCTGCCATCCTGAGCTGTCCTGTCTCTGGGGCGGGGGCCCGCCTGTGAGGGGGGCCCCCTCTGGCCGTTTTTTGGCTCTCTAGCATCTCGTCCACAAATACGGTTGCCCTGAGCATCAAAGACCGACCTACACTCCTCAGCTTTGTGTGATCCCTTCTTGCATCGCCCACAAACATATGGTTCTTCATTCCTAGGACGGGGCCTAGCATCTGCATTGTTTGGGCAGTGACGTTTAATGTGTCCTGGCTCCCCGCAGGCAAAACACCCTCTGGCCTTACATTCCCCTCCTGACCCGCGAGGTCCCCTCTGCTGTACAGCCGCGGCCAGGAGAGCAGCCACTCCCGAGTTGGAGAGCGGCCCCCCTATCTCTCTGCATATCCTAATCCAGGTGTTGAGGTCCTTGTTCTTATGAGGGGCTATCGCTGCCTTGCACTCCTTTGTACATTGCTCGAAAATCAGCTGCCTTACCAGCGGTCGAGCCACTCCCGGATCAGAAAATATTTTATCGGCAGCATCTTGCATTCGGGCCACAAAGTCAACAAATGGCTCTGTGGTACCCTGAATTATTTTTGAAAGACACAAGGAGGCTGTTCCGGCACCACTTACCTGCTTCCAGGCGCGGAGCCCTATGGCATTGATTTGTTCATAGACAGCGCCGGGGAACTGAGTCTGATCATCAGCGTGCCGACCTTCTCCCATAAGCATTTCCTTGTTCCACCCCCGGTTTCCCCGACTGGCGTTTCTCTCAGCCTGCTCTGCAGAGAACTCTGCGTACCAGGCTCGCCAATCCAGGTAACTACCCGAGGGCAGACACGCCTTTGCCAGCTGAATCCAGTCCGCGGGGGTGAGGGGCCCAGAAGACAGGTTCTCCAGCATGGCAATGGTGTAAGGCGCAGTCGGCCCAAAGGTTGTAACTGCATTTTTAAGTTCTCTAATCTGCTTTATCTCAAAAGGCTCCCATGCATTACGTCCCTGGCCCATAGCTACTTGTACAGGAAATATCCCGTAGGGGCCACTATCTATCCCAGGTGGTGGATGTACCTCATGAGACAAACGTCCCCCCTGCCAAAGCCGCCTGTAAAAATACTGACCCGCCGGCGGCGGAGCATAAGACGGCGGCCGTGATTGGGCGGAAAATGGGGGCCCGTGCATCACTTCCTGTTCTGGCAAAAGGGGAGGGAGCTCCCACGCGGCCGCCTCGTGGCGAGGGATCGCTTCCGGGAACAGCCCCCAAGGTGGGGCGGAAGGCTTCGCCTCCCTCTCGCGCCAGGGGGCGCTCAGGAGCTCTCTACTCCTCCGCAGACCAAGTTGAGC